GCCCCCCTACCGCCCCGTTGATTGGTGCCGTATCTGGACTATTTTTGGGCCCGCTGTCTCTTCGTTTGATGGCTCGTTGTCGGCTGGCCTCCTCCTTGCCCTTGTGCCAAGAGGCCATGAACCTCTCAGCTCCCTGTAGCATCCTTGGTCAACAGTAACATCAAAATTCGTCTTCGTCTGCACTCCTCAAGAAAAGTAAGAGCCTGCGGTAGGCAAGAAACTGGGAGCTCTGTATATTAAACAGCTGGAGTGATGAAACGACACAGAAATAGCGCAAGATTTTAAACCCTCCGAGTACTACTGGAAGCCCAAATGGGGACACTTCGGGGACACTTTGGAACGCAGCCCTGAAGGGCCTATTACCACATTGCTGTAGTCACCCTAGGCTCCATGTGTGCAACGTACACGTGAGAACCCTTGGTCTATCATGGTTGGCTGAGGTGATACGCTGTATGATATGCTGTGTGATGCCTCTCCTGGGCCTCTGACTTGCTGTACACATCCGAACCCGCGTGCCCACCAGTTCGCAAAACTGTGTACATAGCCTGGCGGCATTGGACAAAACTTGCTCACTTGGCTTCTTCAGTATGAAAACTGTCCCCACGTGTTTTGGGGACACTTTTCATACTACTGAAGCCAAGTCACCCTGCGTCTGGCAAGGAGCTCAGAGTCTTTTGGAGGGACTGCTGTAGCCTCTCGACCACCAGTGGCTGATAAACATTTTTTCGGATTTTTTTTTTGCGGAGGGACCCTGGGTACTACTGCTGTAGGAGGGTTAGACGAAGTCTAGAACTGGAGGAGGAGGACACTCGTTATTTATTTATCGTGGCGATTTTGAAGCAGACTCACTCGTGCAGCAATAAACAGCAGCAGCAGTGCTTTCGTACGAGTTGAAGATTAGAAAACTTGCGCTGTCCACTACAGTACTGCTGTGATTGCTCGAATGACCCTTTCCCTCCACTCCGAAATAGATGGGCATGATGACAGCAGTACATCGCAGAAAGAAATTGACCGTGGGAGCGTGCAGAGCGATCCACCTTCCTGCGTCTCTCCGCATCATCTGAATCCATCGGTCGAATTTTGAAAATAATTGTCTCCCTGTGTGCAGTCCGCAGTAGTACTGCAGTACGACGGCGTCAAGCAAACCAACGATCGGTGGCCGGTTCCAAGCCTCTGGTAGATGTTTTTTGTTTGACAAGCTTGTGGGATAGGCGTACATTCGAGACGGAGAGGACACACCTCGCGAGAAGAAGCAAAAAAGAGGGACGAAGACGGGGTGTGTGCAAGATGGGCACACCCGCCCCGTTGCAAACGCCAACGTCTGCTGAAAACTCGGAAATACGAAAATACTGCTCTGCTGCCCCTCGTCCGTTGTTCACAACCCTTGGGTTGAGGCTTGTGACGCAACCACACACAACCAGGCAATCATGACCGCCATGCACCTCATGAACAGTAGGGTCATAGCTCTGGTACGTGGAGTCCCCAAGAGCTTCGCCAAGGTATTTTGTGTGTGGTAATGGTTGGGTCCTTTGGCAACATCGCAATGTGACGTGTAGTCTACTGCTGTAGACTCACGATTATTACACCAACACCTTCGCACATGGCGGCTTTTCGGTATAGGAGGGTAGGCATGCATGCGCAGTTGACCACTCTATGCGTATCTCATGCCTCCTGCATTGGCCCATTGGCATTCCTCTATATTGATGTCCGGATCAACACAGCAGCAGTTGGTCTCAATTGAACCCAGCACGCGAGCACAAGCAGTCAACAATGCGGCGGAATTTTTCATGGCACGGTGTTGAATTACGCGTGTGCCCTCGCGGGAGCGAGTTGGAAGCACCCCACCACGCGCATCTTCGCGGAATAAAGACTTGTCCTTTGGGAACGGTTTGTCGCAATTACCCACGCTCTATATGTGCTATCGTGAATATATTGAGGACACTGCTGCTGTCCTGACTGCTGTGTACTATTCAAGTGTAGGAGCTGAAGTGGGCTTGGTGCGTGGTGTCGCTCAGCAGCAGCAAGTAGGCAAGGCTCCTGCTGTCTCGTCGGGCTCTGCTGATGTATGCATACATGCGTGTGCATCGCTAAACACGCATACCAATATGAATAACCATGAATTTTGTTTTTTCGGCTGCCCCTTGCCAAAAGTATCTTGTTGCCAAGAGGGACCGACCCCAAAAGTGACTCGGAGTATGCAAAAGAGATGACCCACTCCTTAGCGTGCAGGTGGTGCTTTTTGCTCACATCGAGTCTTCGGCCAAACAAAAACTGCACCTGCCGTTGGAAATCGTACGCGTCACACTACATGCACCTTCCCACCGATCTGGTTTTTCGGTGATATTTCTGCACAGGAGCAACTTTTTTGTAACGCTATCCCCGCGAGCTGTGTGTATGGTCCGTCTTTCGTGACGGCTAACAGAGGCCACGAGGAATATAGGAGGCACGGGAGCTCAGGTAGCGAGAGTTGCGAACACCGCAAAAATATCTCTTCTCCTGTTTTTCCCGCGTCGCTGGCTTGGCTTACCGATGATCGCTCACCACCCACTGAAGCAACAGCAATGACAAAGGCATCCGCCACATGCTGTGGGTATGGTTCGTCCTGTATGGTGGTTGATGCAGGCCAGGCAAAATTACGCTTAGCAATTTGTGTGGTGCATGTTTCGATTCATCAATACCACCGCACTATTCGTTTTTCAGGCCGTGATGGATGAACAGTCTGCCGCGGCGCTTGGGGGCAAGGCCATCGACTGGGCTCTCGCCTCCAAGCAACACGCCGGCTACGTGGACGCGCTGTCGAAGATCGTCGATTCCGTCCAGGTAACTAAGACAAAAAGAGTGATGGGTATTGGATATAGGGGTTGGATGGTAGACCGTCCGTGAACCTGGTACAATAAGGTGCCGGTCTCACGCTTTTGCTGCCTCTCATCAGCTCATTCCAGCCTAATTTCGTTTTGGTGGACCTGCGATGGTGGCTATCGGCTTAGGCTACAGCTACAGCAGCACAGCAGCAGACGCTACGACAGTCGACTCACTCGGAGACAGAATGCCACCCGCTCCCTCCTCATCCACACATGCCGAGTGTCATGCCCGCACGTCCGCGCTTTCTTTGTTATACAATATGTTGCTTTGGCACATGTTTCATGCATGTAACGTTGTAATGTACGTGACATGTGTGCGGGGAAGACGCTCCCTGCGTTGGAGGCCCACCCAGACTGCCCGTTCGTTGAGGACACTGTCGTGTACGCGAGGGGCATCGCGGTGACGCTCCGACAGGGGCACGATTCCAGAATAGGAGAGGTCGATGCCGTTAGGTGAGAACGTGACGGTGGATGTAGTCGTTTTTTGGGGTGGTGTTGGTGTCAACGCCGGCGTTGAAGGTGTGCTGGTTTCACTGTTGGTTGTGTTGTGCTGAGTGTTGGGAGGGACAGTGGCAACAGGGGTGGGAGGTGTTGGCTGAATGTGTTTGATGCTCGTGTGCTCTACCTTCGTGCTGATGCTGCCGCTGCGGCTGTTGGTCATGACCTCGTAGCAGATGCTACTGCCAGAGCAAGGTCGTTCCGACTTAGGACCTTAACTTGATTTGTTTCAGCGCTGCCTGTCCGGGAAGTCAGAAAAGTGATACCTACACATCGCCGCAGCACCCGTATTTTGTGAGGTTATCGCCAAAACACAGAACAGCTTCACCCTAAGAAATTGTACAACCGCGTACGCTTGTGAGAAATCGAAGAGTTCCTGTCGCGCTTTCCTATCGTGATTTTGTTTCATCTCACCTCTTGTTGGGGCCACCAAACTCATCTCCCGACGCGACTGCAGCCGCAAAGCAGCAGGGAGGTCTGATGGGGTGGCTTTCTTTCAGGTATAGCCTGTGCAAGATACCTGCGTGGAGCCTGCTGTCACCTCCCGATGGAACCCCGCCGCTACCGTTAGCGTTGCCGCCGCTGGTGACACCTTGAAACCCGCTGCTCCTTCATCGGCCGTGTACTTGACACTCTCGCAACAGGGAGGCCTTAGCGACTAATCCCGCCCTGAAGTGTATCAAGACGGTGCACATGGAGGACCCGGACGCACGTTGCGACGGAGGGGATGTTCTGTTCACGGGTGAGACATCGACTACGAGGGGGATGCCGCGGGGGGGGGGCGTCGTACTTGCTTGTTCTTGCCTTAGGTCGCTCGTTCGCTCACCACGCACTACTTTTCTTTAGAGACCACCACCCAACATCGAGTGTTCTGGAGGTTTTCTGCTGTAAAGGGTAGACGGAACCACAAGTTACGTTCGCGCGTAGACAAACAGTACAGGAGTGATGCTTTTATTGTCCAAGTTCGATGATGAATACGTGCTTGTGTTGATGACGTTCCCGACCGACGCATCAGCTAGGAGGAGGGGCACTTCTGGCAAGCAGTATTTTGTACGTACTGTCGCTCCCGGTCGTTGTCTGCAAAATGCCTCATCTTGCTTATTTTAGTCGCTCCTGCTGCCGTTATGTCCCTTGTTTCGTCTCCGTCCGCCTCTCAGCCACGATTTCGGGCTGCACGAGTCCCTTGCCTGCACCGAACTACTCGTTCCCACTCCATTGTTCGTCGTCAATTCATTTGCCAGCTTGTCTGCACCGTGGCCCACATAATCATGCCGCCCTCATCTTAGTCGATGACGTTTTGCTCTACAATATGTAGCCGTGTTCCTATCCGTCCCCATACCCGTGCCTGTTCGTTGTTCCATCATGTTTCCCTTTACTCCTCGTGCTTTTGTGCGCACAGGACGCCACATGTTCGTCGGGATATCGGAGCGAACAAACAAAGCGGGGGCTGCCACGCTTGCCAAGGCGTTCGGCCCCTCTCTCCCAGTTATCCCGGTGCCAGTGGTGAGGAAACGAGAGGCTTGGGTTGGCTGGCTCTGTGAGGCTACCGGGCGTGTTTGCAGCCAACGAGTTGTGCGGTGTTTTTTTTTCGGTGCGCGTTTGGCCTCGGGTGCTCGCCTATCCCCGAGGGCCGCTGGTCGTTTGCTGTGATATCCATGATGCAAACAAACGTGTTTTGCTCTGCCCGACCAGTTCATCGAGCTGATAAAATTGCCCGACTTGTTCGTCGAGCTTATTATCATTTTGCGCTGTCGCAGCGTGGTGTCTGGTGCAGCGTGTGCACCAATATGACTTAAGGGTATTCCTCTCCCAATGCCCAACCCTGTGCCGGTAGTACGGGAGCCACATTGACCACAGCCTTTGACCACAGCCTTTGTTTATGTTCATTATTGGCAGACAGCTTTACGATTAGTACATTGTGCGGTAACCACCCCTCCTCGCCGACCATGGTTTGTTTCTATTCGGTTTCATCTAACGGCAGACGGGCGCGCTCCACTTGAAGTCGTTGGTGTCCCTGCTCAGACCACGGGTCCTACTGTTCGCGAGGAACGACGCTGGGCAAGAGGCGGTTGCAAGGTAAAATACTTCCTTTCTAAGAATGTGTTTGGTTTTCGATTGTAATGGATGGCCGTCAACCCTGTATATACATCCAAAGACTAGGATGTAGTGCGAGGGAATGAGCCTGCTTCCTCCGAAAGTGGTCCTGCCACTGCCGTGTTGGGTTTGCAGTGATCAAAGAGGTCCTTGCTTTGGGCGAGAGCCCCGATCCGCGCACACCTTCGACAAGGCCGTTTTTTCACACATGCTCGCGTCGTTTTTGTGGGTGCTGCAGCACAGGTAACCCCCGTAGGAGGGTCCTGAACAACACTCATCATCAGATGTGACCAAAAATAACCCGACGACAAACACGCAGGTTCTGCTCGAAAACGAAGTGCGGCAAAAACGCCTCCGTTCCTCAAAGTTGAAATATGCATATCAATTTTTAAGTTGTTGGTTTGTTGGTTGCAGACACGCACAAGAACGCATATATCCAAAGTGTAGCATAGCTGTGTCGAGGCGTTTGGCATATCGCGAGACACGCAAGAACAAACCGATCCATCCTACAATTGAGGGGAGGTCAATGACGTAGGGAAACAAAACGTTTTGGGGGAAACCCATGTTTTGCCTAGTCCAGCGTAGCATGTCCCGAATGCTCCTGACGAGGCATTTTTTGCATCCGGTGACCTTGTTTTGTATGTCGCCGCTCGCCTTCCAATCCGTTTAGCATGGCGTCGGACGTTGGAGAGACAGCTTATAAAGCCATTGGAGTCCCTGATCAGGTAAGAAGGTCGCTGTTTGCGCTGTAATGCATCAAGAGATACGAAAGCATTTTCTCGTGCGGTTGAACAAGTGTTTGTTTCAAGTGGTCTCATTCGCGTCCGTTGTGTAGAGGCTATGTACGTGAGTACCCATCGGCGAACAGATTCATTCATGGGAAAGAACGATAGCAATCACACCATATCCCCCGGGCGAACGTGCATGCAGCCTAGCGCGAACGTGGTGTCCGTGATCCACAAGGGGCAGTGGCGGGGGGCGCTGATCCAGGGCGGGCGGTGCGAAGAGAGCCGCTGGCTTATCCGCAAGTGCTTCACGGAGAAAGAGCAGGTGCGACGTGGATGAAAGTATCGCAATCGACTGTAAAGGTGGGTAGCGTCGGGACGACGAATGAACGGGTTGCTTGCAATGCAGGCGTGCTTTGTTCACTGCCTGTGGGAGAAACCAACTTGAAACAGAGTAGCCAGCATCCTAGACGAAGGGATATTGGGGAGATCCGTTTGCTATGATCGTGCATGCAGATTTCTGTTTGTTGCTAATCGAACAAGTAGGCAGCATCCTTGGCGAGATGTTTGCTGGTAATGCTCAGTTCTCTCGCAGATTGTATTGATAGACAGAGCGCGGTATTGCCACCCATTTGCCCCTCGGCTCTACTGTGAAATAGTTCAGGACGCATTCCGCTTGTGATAATCTGAGATTCACTTTCTACCTGGCCCCCTGCTACTCAGAAATTGGCGTCTCTTCTTTAAGCACACGCAACATCACATTTGTCCGCCCAACTCCCTCTTCGAATTTTTTATTGCTTTATTTGAGGTGTCGTGTGGACCATTGCCTAGCATTCAGTGCCTTTTCGGTGTAGCCTTGTTTATTTTTTCGTTCGTCGATCTTCGTGTGTTTAAACTGCGTCCCTCGACGAAACGAAACAATTCAAAACATTCCCGGGGCAGGCGAAGGTGTTGGAGATTGACTACTCGGAGATGATCAAGCCAGACGCGGCCTTGACGTGCTGCTCGGTGCTGCTGGGAGGGCAGCCGGCGTGATTAGTACACGGTGATGGTTCTAGTTGATAGCAGGCAGGCGAAGGTGCTGTTGGAAGCAGCAGCAATAACATCAACGGCGGCTATCGTTACGCGGCACCATTGTACTGTGTCCTCGATAGCTACTTACTTCCACGTGTACTAGCAGTTTTTGGCGTAGAGATTAATGTATAAAGGTGTAGCAATCAATCTGAAGTAGCTTTTGATTTAGTAGAAGAAGACCGTATGGTCGTGTGGCGCATCTCAGCTTATATCCACCCAGGGCGCACTGGGCGCTGCCGTGGTCGACGTTGATGCTTTCGAAATACGGGGAGAGGCGGGGTGGTCGCAAAGAGGACACAGGCCCTGGGGAATCCCCGTTCATCACCACGTATCTCCGGGTGGCGGTTTCAGCTCAAGGGGGAGCCGATGCGGGCACGCCCATCCCGATATTTGAGCGTTTTTCGATCCAAAACGATGGTATTATTACTCTCTTACACCCACGATATTCCCAAGTGAACAGAGGTGTCGAAGACACGAGGCACGTGGCGATGGCGTTGAGTAGTCCCGCAGGCTGTAATATTGGTTTCGACCAATTGCCCCCGGCCAGGATCAAGGCCCGGGTTGTGAGTGGGATCGATTGATCAATATGTAACGACAACGAGACAACAACACGCAGGCACTGTTGCGCAGGATTAATGCAGGAGGCGGCGGGAGTCCTGCGCGGTGAACTCGACAGCACATACACAGCTTGTGATGGTCGACGACACGTTGGAAGAGGCTGGGAATGGTACTGTTCAAGTCTACATGGCGTGGGCAAACATGGCAAGCTGCTCCTTGTGCTCCTGTTTCTGTATCTTGCCACTGGTAAGAGGCTTCATCTGTCCAGAAGCGTCTTGGGCGGCGGCAACAGAAGACAACCTGTGTGCAGTAGTCGTGCTTTAGGCCACATTTCACTCAAGCTCGTCACGTTGTCCAACAAGCAGCAGCATAGCACACAACTCCTGGAGGCCAGGGTACTCGTAACCGTTGCCTTTCCGTGGCTGAGCTACCGGGAAGACCAGACCGTGATTTCTGCTTCGAATATGAACCATGTAGCCGGTGGCCATATATCGATAGTTTCGTGCGTCGTCTGCTTTGTTTTGCTTGGTAGGATGGACAAGATGGGGTAAGATGTGCCAGTTTGAGATGTTGGGTTGCGTGGACCTTGTGCGATCACGCCCTTTCTTTCGCAACAATGATTTTATCGTGCGTCTTTGCTGGGTTTCGTACGGAGGGCTTAGAAAACCTCGCTTGGAGATTGCCGCTAGTCAGCACGCGACATCATGACTCCCACACTGAACACGAAACCCGTACACAATCCTACACAAACACCAACAACAGTGCACATACTACACTACGACAACTGTGCCCCGTAGCAGTCGCACACCAAAGACGGTAACGTACACGGAATCGATAACCAATGTCACACAATAGACATACGCAAATTTCGTTATCGTCTCAAAAGGTACCCGACTGCCTCGGCGTGGCAAGGGTGCCGATGTCGGCTGACGGAGGCAGGACGAGGGAGAGGGAATAACGCCGCGTCTCCTGAACAGCGGCGGTAGCAGTGTTCGACAGCCGATGAAACAAAGTCCACCTGCCCCTGCCCTTGAAGAACCATCGTCGAGGACTACCTACTGATGCTGATCTTTGAGGAATTCTCCAATGTAGCGATGATCCCGCCAGAGCCACACGAAGATACCTGATACAAAAGCCACATCGTCGAAGCCAAAACCCCGAAGGCACCTCACTCGATGCCCCATTAATCCCCCTAGGCCATGACCAATGACCTTAGAACGCAGCGTAGCTAGAACCGAGCAACCAGTTGCACTGTAAGGAATCCTCGACCCCCCTCCCACCCCCAACCACCGTAGCTGGTGATGAATCATCCCATCTTGGGTTTGCCCTGGTCATGAGGCGAATACCCGGCGAAGCCCACCCCAAGGCTCGATAAGCACAACACAAGCGGCATCGGGAGCTCCGCAAACTCGCCCATGAACAGCTGGGGGTGGTGGCGAGCAGCAAAAACAACAAGCACGGCGGATATCGACGAATATTCGTCAGGAAACACAAAAGAAGCCTACGCACAGGGTTCAATGCCTTCATTATTGGACTTGGATGCGAGCGAATAGGAATGTAGGACACGTGCGCTTGGACGTCGCGTGGGACACAAGAGGGGATGGGCAATGAGAGGTAGTAGCAAACACGATATATGAGACAGAATCACGCCAATACAACTAAGCACCAAATCTAACACGAAACAACTAAAGAAAGGTATCCTCCCGTCCCCCGTATCCATGTATCTCTCAACATTCTCTCCTTCCTCTATGCACAAGAGGATTTTCATGGACGTCTGCTGTTCTGCCGTCGTCCCGGAATCGCTCATCCAGCCTAGCTTGGACTTGCAACCATAGAGCAGCGAGTACGGTAGGCATGTCGCAGTTCTCGGCAATGTCCTCAAATAACGGCTTCCTGCTGCGCAAGGCATGGCTCTTGTGTCTCAAGGTACGATTTAGCGGACTTGTTCAAAACCACAAACCCTCCTTGAAATCGTTTCAGGACCTGAGAGGGTTCTCTTCCCCCTTAAAACTCGTGCATCCTGTTTCATGTTCTCGCTTACCCGTAGCCTCCACTGCAGTTGGTTCGAGCTTTGCTTAGAACGTTAGTTGTGTATAAAAAATATGTCTTTGGTGTTCGCGGAAACACGCGCACGTGCATGATAGGTGAGATGGTGTCCACGCGGCATGGAAAACACGATCCCAAGAAGAGGGGAATGGCGTACTTGGGCAAGTCTGACGTACTGATACAATCGTGCACAAGGTCGACTATGCCCCACACCATTCCTCTTAATCTAGGTGAGTGTGAACTATGGAAGAGAATTTAGCAGGTGGGCGTCGCTTCCTTCGGGCGGCATACAGTACGCCTTGAGACGGGAAACAGTGCACCAACAATCACCGTCTTATCTTCCACAATCAACCAACCAGAAATATCAACGACAGAGAGTAGGGAGATCCAAAACGCAGCTAACAAAAAAACTACGCTTTCAGCCCAGACTACAAGTACAAGAGCTGCCCTTCCAGAAAGGGTACCTACCCCCACAAGTGGCTGCCATCGAAATCACGAGCCTCAATGCGGAAGGTCGGAGCCGCGTGCGCTAAGCTGTAGTGGATCGACTGGTTGCGCTGTCAGCGGCGCCGACAGCTGAACGGGGAACACTCACGTGTGTGAGGACGACGGCCGACATGAGCCCGAAGAGCATGATCGCCGCGGAAAACTTGTGCGAGGTAAACAAGAGGGCGGCGCACAAGATTTCCGTGCTGCCGTCGGATACGCAACCCGTCACAGGGACAGACGTCCAGGGAAGGCCCGCCGCGCGCCAGTCAGTGACGACGGCGGGGGGTCCCGGGCAATGGGCAGGGGGAGGGGGTGAACGAGAGTGAGTTACTGCCGAGGCGTGTGAACTGCGATGGTCTGGGAGCAAAAGAGAAGCAACCGCGCAGTGTCGAGGAATGAAAGAGACGAAATGTGCCGAGATCAAGCTTTTTTGATGGGCGCGGAGAACGCCTGGTCAAACGTTATCTTTGGGCCGACAGCTCGCGCCCGCATGCTACCGAGCAAATAAGCTCACGAAGGGTGAACAGATTACAGCATGCAAACACCGGCGCGACGAAGGGGTGCAGTGTGTTAAAATGCCACGCCCAGAAAACCGCGAACCGTCGAACAGGGCAAAAAATGCGAAGCTGGTGTCACGACGCACGTTGGATTACCAAGTGCAGCAGCAGTGCGCACCACTTTGTGCGAGGAGGCATCTCGTCAACATCTGGGGCGGGGTAGTACCAGCTGCGTCGACCCAATCCATAGAACCGTCGTGCGCTCCTCCACGGAGCATCAATACCGAGCTCCAGTGTACCGTACTGCGCCAAAAACGCTTCGCCGATTCGTTCGCCCCCCCCAAAAGAGATACAATCTCGACCGGAATCCCGACAGGAGAAAAAGCACTAACAGAGGGCGTGAATGAACAACAAACGGGCCTGGAGTTTTTTTACCATCACACCTTCCGAAGATGAGCTTCACCGCAGCCGCGTTAAGCTCAACGCCAATCTCCGACAAGAAGAACACCTCCTGCCAGAACGGCGTGTATCTGTTCTCGAAGGCCTCATCCATCGCGGCGTACACGTCGGCCCCCCACTTTGTTACCGACCCAGCACACGGCGGTTCAGCAGAGGCAGCAGCAACTTTTTAGTTTGCATCAAGTGTAGCAAAGGTTGTTTGCCGCTCAGCAACAGGGTGCACCCATCAGCGTCATCATGAGAACCCACGCTACAGCAGCGGTCTGCGATCAAGACGCACCAAGAAGTAGAAGAAAAAATACAGAAGAGACGCCGTGTCAATGCCTTTCGTGGCTTTATGCAAATATTCCGGCGATGTGAGAGGACTCAATGCAAGGGCAAGGATTGAACTGTAACTCTGACAACCGCGAGCACCATTGAGTCAGCGGTCAATCTCACTCGTGCTTCCTACAGTACTTCTACAATACGGCCGTCGACTTCTCCTGTAGACTTCAGCAGACCACCAGAGTCGCACAAAAATCAGACACGCGTACTGAGAGTTGCCGTCCGTCGACTCAAGGGGAGTTTAACTTGAAAGCGGGACGTACAATGAGATGGCGCGCAACGCGAAAGAAGTCATTGGTCGCTAAATGCAGCAGCTCAAGCACAAAGCACGTCCACTGGGTTGCGCCGTAACCTACGCCGCGGAGGTTTGCACCGAAACAACGTAAAAAACCTCACCAACCAGTTGAGTATCACACGCCTCACACCCTGGCCAAAAAAACGGCCGATAAGACCATGGGCAACGTCACCTGGGACCCAATGGACACATGAGGAGTAGTCTACAGCACAGCACCCTCTGTTGGGAACACGGCCGTGTTGTGTACAGCTGAACAAGGTCGCACCTTTGGCGTCAACTTGCAGACGCCCGACAGAAGAAACAAGCCGCACAGGCAAAGTTTCACTAAACCTGCGAGCACCCCCATCTTTCCTAGCAGCGCAAGGGGGAGCAACACAAGCTGCGGGACAAACAGGGGGCTGGAGGGTATAGGATAGAGGGATGCTGGTTGTGCGTCCAAGTGTAAGGCGGTGTGTTGTGGTGTCTGGTGCAGTCTGGTGTCTGGTGTTAGGCCGCTCGAAATCTACGAGATCCACGATGAACGATCTACGTGAGGTTGGGAGTTCGATATGGTTCTCGAGCGTTGCCCTGGTTCTGCATTCGGAACCTGGCCACCGCGCCGGGGGGGGAAAGAGGTGTGAGTGTGCTTGTCCTCCTGCTGTAGTGCACGCGTGCACTTGCCCGGCACCGGTGAGTGTGTAGGAGAGAGCCAGAGAGATGATGCGAGTGCTCCAACCTCGACTCCCTCCCTATGGGCGTGCGCCGCCGTGCCGTCCCAAGGTGATGGTGGGCTGCGTACGGCAGCACGGGCATCGGCGACTTTCCACAACCGCCGAGCCGGTAAAACCTTCCTCGCCTGCCGCCGAGGAACCCGGCTGGCCGCTAAAGGTATGGGTAGAGTAGAGGCAGCTCCAGCAGAAAACACCAGTACCAGGGTGGGGTCATTGTATTCCTCACCCTGCAATCTAGCCGTGCAAGACCCCGGGGTGCGAAGTTACAGCACCGGTGCGCTTACGTGCACGCGAGTACATTTCGAGAGCTTGTTGGCGGTGAGGCGCAGTCGGGGCATGTACGGCGGCGCGCGGCAGCAGGTTCGCCAACTTTTGCAGAGCGGGTGGAAAGCTTTTACCTGACGTTGGAACATGTAGGTTTGGCGGCATCTTGTGGGCGAAGAGGCCTGGATCGGGAGGCCAGCATTTCAGACGAGTTCAGATTTCCCGGCGATGGCGACTGCACGCGGAACCTGAGTAGCCACGGCGGGTGCACCTCCTATGGCCCGGCCCGGGGGAGGCAGAATGTCGTGTTAGCCAATCACCGTGGAATATTCAGACTCGCCCAAACTCACCCAAACTCGTTTCAGGCGGTAAACTTATGCTGCTGTCGTCGATGAAGCACAGGGTGTACGGCAGTCCACCCTCCTTCGCCCGTCGCCGCTTTGACTGCCCACCTCCTCACCTCGCTCGCTCGTCTGAAGTACATTCGTTTGCACCTTGTTCCTTTCACTCCTCCTACTCTGTATGACGCAACTATGAGGTGCTGCTGCGATCTTGCGACAGACAAGAGTGATCGGTCAACGAGACAACGACTGCAAGTTTCAGACCCTCCCCAATTACGGAAGTCTCAACGTACGTGCGCTTGCGTGTGTACAACTTTCAATCATATTATAGTACAAAGTGGCGGGAGGGGCTATACTGGGCACCATCATCCCGTACATGTTCTCGTACGCCATGGCAAACGACCCAGGGTCAAGGAGGCTGGTGAACAAGCTATCGCCGGGAATCGGTGAGATTTGTGTTTCGTTGCTTTGTTGGGGTCGGTGTCGGTCTCTCGTTCGTGGTATTTGCCACGCCGTGGCTGTGGTGTGCCATCATCGCAGCTACTACGCTGCCTGGCGGGGGGCGGCTTCGAGGTGACTTCGACAGCAATGATTGTCGGCGTGAGCAAAGAGGGGGGAAATGTCTCTCCGTGAGTGAAAAGCAACCTTGGAGACCAACTCAATCTCACCTGCTTTTGTGCTGGTTTCGATCGTGGACTTGTGGCCACGTGTACGTCCCCCAAAGTTGTGTCTGGAGGGCGTATTTGCCCCAGTGGTTTGCCCCGGAGCAGAAAGTTTTCGGCAAAGTCTGGTGCATAGCTGACGACTACGCCGTTGCTGCGGCTGCTGCTGCTGCTGCTGCTTCTTTCGGCGTCCCTGCGCGTGTGCCGTGTTCGACGTCGCCCTGTATTTTGATGGGGCTCTCCGATGCTGACCGCCAAACATGGCACTCTTAATAGTGCAATGGTTCCGGCAGAGACAGAAGGGCGGGCATTTCTTTGACGAAGACCCCAAGCGACTCGAATACCTGGCGCACGTGCCAGATTGGATCAACGAACGTGAGCAAGACCAAAGATTGTCTGACCCACGTGCTGATTACTTTTTTTGTGTGTAGTTAAGAGTTGCTTCAGTCGCATGAGTGCAAGGACGTACCACGCACGTATAGCTTGAAATGCAAACAGCCGGCTTCGTCGTCCTGCCAATATAGCCATCATTTTGTCGAAGGTAACCTTTCGCTGCAGAGGCTTGACCGATCAACGTGAGAAGGTACGCCAGAGAAAAAAAAATTGTTGGAAGCGCTCGAACCCTCTGTCTGTCGTGGGGTTGATGTTGAGAGTTTGTTTTCCTTTTTTTCGTTTATTCGCAAGGTTTTTCTGCAATGCACGCGCACTTTTCGAAGTTTTTCGTTGTAGCGTTTATATAGCCCACGTGCTCCACTTGGGTCTAGTGGATCGGAGTACTAACTAGGAGACTGAGGTTCTGCAGTGCCACCTAACATGGCACTGTGGACACGTGGGTAGGGCAGAGTGCGGGGAAATCGCGAACGGCACCAAAACATTGATATCATTCTTACGAAAGATTTGACCCGCGGTCAGGTATGCTACATTCCTGAACCAGAGCCGGGGAAGCACCGTCGTCTGCTTGTCTTCTCCCCGCGCCTCCGCCACCGTGCATGACAGCTACAGTACCCCCACCACCACCACCCTTCTCTCTCTGTCCCTCTCTGTCTCTCTCTCTCTCGCTCTCGCTCTCACTCTCGCTCTCTATGTTCGGCACGAAGCCGTGAGCATGGAGATTCGCACCGGCAGCGGAGAAACCCGCCGCCTTGACGGCTTGGACGCCCAGACGCCATTCTCGTCCGTGGGTCGGCTTGTGCAAGGCGGGGGCTGGCTGACCGACTTTGACGTGTTGGACGAGGGGAATGCGGGCGACGGGGAGGTACTGTACGCACGCGTGGCTGGTCTGGTCGTTTGCTTGTCTTTTTGCTTCAGGTCTATTGTTCCGCTTGTTTTTGATCATTTTTGGTGGATATAGCTGGGAATGGGAAATGTTGTCGCGAACCAAGTCATTGACCGATGTGATGCATTTTCAGCAAGGGTAGCGTCGGGGACATCGAGGAACGCAACAGAGGCTCCCTCTTTGCTGTGTCTTTTGAGATCCCGGGGCTATCTGGTTTGTTTTGTTCACAAGTGGTAACCATGGGTTTGACTGTCGGTGTTCATGCGGTGGTGGTTGTGTGATACCAAATAAGCGCGGCGGCAGAACATGACCCCCCCCACCACCCTCCCACTCTCCATCCCCCAGGCACAATCAGGGCAGACATCGGCCACGTGGGACATAAGCAGTAGCGGCGCCAGTAGCGGCAGCAGTTACCAACACAAGGGCAGCTCCCCGTACTCAGCGACCTCTGCAAACAGCAGCAGCGGCGTCGCCGCGGCCGTTAGAAGAGACGTGGCCGCGTGCAACATCCGCTCGTGGTGGGACATCGCCGCCCTGGAACAGGAGAGTGCTAGACAACCCGCGCCACTGGCGACTGTAGCGGGGTCGGCGTCATCGTCCGGTAGCTCTTCGGCGAGGGCTGGTTCCGCCGGCGGCGGCGGCAGCGCTGCTTCCAGCTCGTCCGTGGGTACCGTGGGTGCGGCAAGGGGGTCTTCCGCCAAGGTAGGTGCCTTCAACGTTTGCTATCCTTCCACCGTCATCGATGCGTCTGCATTGTACTCGGATGGGCAGTTTGACTTGGGTCACGTCGGCGCGACTGTTGCCTGCGGATGCCACTGGTGATAGGGGTGAAGTTGTTGCCGTCGTCGTCGTCGTCTGAGTTTCTTAGTACGCCGTCACCAAGCCTGCAAGTATTGTTTATTTTTTCCGTACGGTCTGGATGGAAATTCCGGGCGATTTGATTGTGCGTTCTGTCGTGCATCGACCGATCAAGGTTTGGCGTGGTGGCCAGGCGCGGTGTGCATGTTGTGATCTTGTCCCCAAGTTCGAAGGGAGAAAAGCACGCGGTGTGTATGAGATAGCACGACCAGCGCACTATTTCCCGCTGCCGCCACTTTCGCCTGGTGCCCTGTTCTTTTCCTTGCTTTCGGGGTCTCTCCTGTTTTCCTCTTATCATCTCTTTCTTCCTCTTATTTGTCGCATGGCTTCTTTTCGTCCTTCGGCGTGCCAAACCAATGCAGTATTTTCGAATAATCATGAATGCACACAGCAGTGACCCCCCGCCCCCCGCCCCCCCCTATCCACAGAAAATGTCCAACGCGGAGCAAGCCCGGGCGATGATCCAGCACCTAGATGAAATGGTGGAGGCGTTGGAAAGGGACAAGCTAACGGGCGTTCGCTCGGTGAGAAAACGAATCGCGTATGCCATTTGCTCTCGGGTGTGGTTTTCCACAGTTCGTGACTTTCGCGTTCAACTCGGGCTTTGATTGCGGATCCGGCTTTCGAGCAGACTTCTTCGAGTCGGAACCCATCTAAGCCCCGCGCGTGCATCTCTGCCCAGTCGAAGCTTGGGGGTAACCTTCAAAGTAGACCAACAAGAGGAGGTTGTGCCGTGATCGCATGGATTTTTCTCGGAAACGGAATGAGCTCGGGTCTCGAGACCGCGCCGACGGGTTTGGGGAACCGACCTAACGTGTGCCAACCCATCTAGCATATCGTTTTTCTCTAGCTCGTGTAAAGCAGCTCGGATGATTTTTTGTACACCGATGATCCCATGACGCTACACCCGTGTTTCTCTGGCTCGTGTGTAGCCGCGCTGATGATTTGTACACCGATGATCCCATGATGTTGCTGTACCCCGCGTGCGCAGGTTGACGACGTCGAGGAGGAGGTTCGGGATCTTCGTAGACAGCAGAAGGAACTGCGCCGAAAGCACCCGGGAAGGCGAAGATTTCTCGGACTGTTTTGAGCAACTAGACCAAGGAAAACGCTCATATCGGGCTCATGACGAGATTTCCTGCTGTTGTGAGGACGGGGCTGCTCTGACAAACCGAACGAGAGGAAAGACGATTCTTTCCCGATTTGGATTCGTCCCTCTTGGGTGTACGCCATTGTGTAGTTTTTCGGCGCTGAAGGACTGGTGCGATGCGACAGACCCAAGCGCCGCAAGCAGACGCGATTGCGTATGCTTGTATAGTAGCGTCGGTGTTGACAACAACATTGCGAGAATAAGGTCTTGGCGTTGTTGACAGCATCTTCACCACGGCGAGATCAGAGAGCAACGCACGCAAAACGCTACCAGGCCGGTGCTACCAAAACGCTCGCGCCAGTGGCAATCAGCACGACCACGGCATACGAACAACCAGCAACGCTGGCGGTGTGTCAACAACCTACGAACAAACAGCAAGCCTGGCGGTGTTTAAACCACCAAAAACGGTGTCGCGTACTCCTCTTGCCATGACTCTCTTGCCCCTCCGCGGTCAAAATTCATTTTCGCCAAAGAAACAAAAAAAAAAAAATCAGCTGCGCGCAAACAAAAACAAGCCTAGTCTACCCTCTCGATTGAACAAGAAAGGTCTGGTCGTTAGCCTTCATCAAAAATCTAAACTTAGTCCTCGCCATCGTCCATCTCGTCCGACTCGATGGACTCCTTTGCCCACTCCTCCGCCTCCTTGACTTGCGCTTGTGGCACGGCCTGGTACTTCCACCCGCTCTCTTCGCACACCCACGACATCTCCAGCTCGAACGGTTTGTCCTTCGCCTCGTCGTGGAGCACATGGAGGCTGAACCAAAAGTGACGAAAAGCCATCGAAAGTTGGGGTAGGCGCATATACTTTGTTGTTAAACCATTGGCCACGCGTCCTCCAGAAGACGGAGCGTTTGTTCCCACAGGATCGATCACCGATGGCCAATCGTTCCTTCCTACTTTGCCAAAGGTGGCTCAAAAATGTTTTTCCTATCCTATCGATATCACAGCGTGTGTGGGTGGGTGGGCACTTACCGTATATAACACACCCCCTTGACCGATTTTCGAAGCTCGATCTCTCAACTGCAGGAACAGTCACAGCGCCGAAAATGGCGGCGTTGAAACCGTCTCGTCGAGACCTTTTTGAAAATGTATCATTTCGTTTATGCATCCTCTTCGTCGTGAAGTAATCGAGCTTTAAAATCGGTCCAGGGGGTGTGTTATCTTGTGTCATATACGGTACTCGTTGTTTGACCACGGTTGTACCCCAATGGCACAGAGCAACACAATTCTCGATCATATTCAACGTTAGTCCTGGCCGCTGACTAGGAAAAAAGACGCAGGCCATTCGTGGTGCAAAAAGCGGTCGAAGGCGCAACAATTCCTGCACATAAGACTTCGACTCTTCTTGTGGTATCGGGGACATGACAACAAAGACCTTAGCGCATGGAACAAAGTCAACGATTGCATGCCTAGGAACGACACATCCGTCACATGCATGCGTGACATCAACCTTGTCGTTCAGCCATTTCGGCCCCTACGAAAAACTGTTAACTTCATGTTCGTTGCCATTACTTGCTTTTGAGCGGTTTGACTTTCATGGGAGTTGTTGCTTCCTCTCATACCAGCACCTAATAGTATACATCTACGTAGGGAGGGGAAAGAGAGATACCACAGCAGTGTTTCGTGTGGTTCTGAATAAAAGCCTTCCGCGCGTGGAACAGAGACCTACGTAGGGAGGGGAAAGAGAGATACCACAGCAGTGTTTCGTGTGGTTCTGAATAAAAGCCTTCCGCGCGTGGAACAGAGACCTACGTAGGGAGGGGAAAGAGAGATACCACAGCAGTGTTTCGTGTGGTTCTGAATAAAAGCCTTCCGCGCGTAGAACAGAGACCCCGGGTCTGCGTCCCCATAAAACTATGAACCTAGAACCTCCAACGTGCACCGCAACATTCTTCTGTGTGGGCCCGGATCGGAGCTCAACTTCTCATAAAGAGAGGAAAGGCCACGCCGGAGGTAACCATTTGCGAGCAACGACTAAAAGGTATGAGAAGGCGACCGTAAATGTGTCAAACAAAGGGGATTTCGAATCGACACTCGACACGTCTCCCTTTTTCGTCTGGGACGCCAAATTACTAACACACACACGTGCATCATGCAGCCTGACAAGCCTCTTTCGCGTCACATGTGGTTTCAAGTGCCTCCCGCCTGGAAAAAAACACAACGTGCCAACCTATTGGGACACACATACGTTCCGTCTCAATATCGCTTCAGAGATTTGCGTCTCGCACTGGGTGGCGCCGCATTTTTCCTCGCCCCGTCGGATGCGTGCACCCAACGTTGGTGGTGTGGTGTTTATGCCTGGGAAAACTCACATCTTGCAGACTTGCTTCATAGCCTCCTTGCACGTCATGTCGTCGAACTTCAACTTCTCCATCTCCGTTTTTGCTGCCTGCGAAACCCAAGAAATGGGGGGGGGGGGGGGGGGG